CATTTTCAGGAGCCACACAACAGACCTGGCTCTTACTAAGCTTGCCGTTGACTCCACATACTAGATCTCCTACGGTGCCCTGCTTGTTCTTCCTCGGCCTCCTCCTCACATCCCAACCGTGGGAGCAGGTGGGTTTTGTTTCCAGTGTTAGGGTGGGGCACCCAGCACAGCACTCACTCCCGACACAGATGGACACAATTGCTGGCACCCCACCAAGCCGGCCGTCCAGGTCCTAGTGACTCAGAATTAAGTCATCCGAGGTATTGGCCTTTCCCTCCCAGGAGGGTGTCATCTACAAAGCTGATAAGCAAACGCTCCGAAACTTCATCAGAATTGTTGGTAAACAAGAAATGGCACAGGAGGCAGGCAGGAGTTAGGAGCCGCCCCCAGGCTAACCGCACAGAGTGACAAAGGGACCCTCTTAGGCACAGTTGTTCGGCCAGACGCGGATCTTCCAGACCTCGCTGGTCTTCCAGCCCCCGGGACGGGGACACCACCACGACCCTGCAGATAGAAGAGAAGGCCGCAGACACAAAGGAGATGAACACAACAAGAGCTAGATAAAACCTATGCATATGGTAAGGCCTGTAAGGAGGCCAGGGAAATGTAAACAACCAGATTTGCTGGCCTGGGTAGATGAGTCTTTTCTTTTTTTTTCATTTTAAAACTGCCTTCATGGCTATAATCATGTGTATAATAAATAAAGCCACATTTTGTTCAAAGGCTTGTTGAAATCACACCTCCAGTCAGTCTCCTGGTCGACCGGATGAGTAACTTCATCAAAAGGGGAAACCAGACGCGTTTGGTGCGAGAGGTTTTTGTGGACTTGGGTTGGCGCCTGGTGCTCACCACTCTCTGCTTAATAACGTGTTCCCGTATTTTGCTGGGGATGTGCATCAATCACCATCATCTTTGGAATACAACTGTATAATGGCTTTGCGGTTAAGATCTAGGCTTTGAAGTCATGCAGATCTGGGTTGGAACCCTTGTTCTACCTCTAACTGCCTTTGGGTCATTATGCAAACCCTCTGAGCCTCAGTATTCTCATCTGTAAATAGGGATGCCCCCCCCCCATAGGGTTGGTGTGAGACTAGAGAGGGATGATGAGCTGAAATACACCTATTCAGTGACGGGTAGAAATGGCTGTTACCATATTCTGCTCTACCACTCCCCCAACATCACCACCTCAGGGAAACAAAGGCTCCAAGATTTGGACCAGTTTGCCAACTGCCCCCAGGAACCCAAGGATTCCGTTGCTAACCCTGGGCAGAATTTAGCAAATTCAGAAAATACTAGATTCCAAGACAGAAATTTTAGTAGAGACCTGCTTCTGGAAAGTCCTTAACAAAGAAAAAGAGGCAATTGATGTTCGAGAACTCCGAACTAACTGCAGACACCTTCTCACCCCTGCCAGCCTGAGCCAGAATTCTGAGAAGCCCAGGCGTTTCCATTGCCACCTATGAACTGCGAGCTGGCCATTGGAATCATGGTAAGCCCCCAGCATCTCAGAAGCATCCTAAGAGGAGGAGAAATCCAGTTTCTTGCCCAAATCAAACTAATTCTTTCCCGTCATAAGCCAGCCGGGCCTGAGCTCCACAGACGGACAGCCCTGTCTTAGCACCCTCGCGGTCCTAGTAGAGTAAGCAGAGCCAGACCACCTGGCTTCAAATTCCAGTCCCACTCTGACGTCAGGCAAGTTCTTAGCTCTCTGTGCTCCCACTTCCCTCACCTATGAAGGGGGAGTAATACTGCTAAGAGGCATGATTCCCGGAATATGCCCAACAGAAGCTAGCAGTGATCTAAACACTCCGTCCTGAAGACGTGGCCCTGGGCTGAGGGGCTCGGCCACACTCTCTTCCTCTAAGAATAGACTTTCTCTCTTGGGAGAGACATGAGCCAACAGTGTGGGCAGAACCAGAGGCCACAGGAGGAACTGACACCACGGGAACTCCAGCACCCAGGGGCCACCGGCCACCGCAGCGCAGACCGCCACCTGCCCCGGGAGCAAAGCATGAGAGGCCCAGGTGGGGTGAGGATGTGGCGCTGCCACCAGCAAGCAGGCTCGGAGCCGACCCACCCACGGGCGTCCCCATGGCTTTAGACGGCCCGGGCCTCCGACTGGGGCAGCCGGCAGGCTAGGGTTGCTTTCTCCGCCTGTTTTCCCATCTCCCAAATGAGGCCACGAAGGTCCAGGCCTTCCCGGGGCCGAGGGCAGCAGGGAGGCCCCCCTGGAGTAGCCAGGCTCCCTGTTCATTTACAGCACCTGGGGGCGAGCCCCCCCTAAAGAGCCATCCGGGTTCATCACTGCCCACCTCCGCTGCTCCTCCCTGCCCCCCTGTGCACACCTTCCCGGCACACGGGCCTCTGAGAGAGCCCAGCACGTGTTCAAGAGAACCCAGAAAGGAGGGAGTTTTTTTTTTAAGTTTTGTTTTGAAGGGGGGGGGGGCGGCGGGAGGAAGAGGGGAATGAGGAATCGGTCGTAGTGGTCATGGGCACACATAGAAGGGTCTTTCTTGGGCAGCCCAGGTGGCTCAGCAGTTTAGCGCCGCCTTCAGCACAGGGCCTGATCCTGGAGTCCCAGGATCGAGTCCCGCATCGGGCTCCCTGCATGGAGCCTGCTTCTCCCTCTGCCTGTGTCTCTGCCTCTCTCTCTGTGTGTCTCTCATGAATAAATGGATAAAATCTTAAAAAAAAAGGGGGGGGTCCTTTCCCATAGAAGCTGCTGTGCAAAGAGTGGTCTCATTCCCCAAAACTCCTCAGAGAGCCCCTGCGTTCAGCAGCGCAGGCCGGCCCTGCTGGGAGGCCAGTCCCCACCACCGGCCAGGTTCCTGGCCTCCGCGGGCCTCCCACCAAGACGACACCACCTTCCTGTTTGTCACCAGGCCTCTTCCAGCTCAGAGATCCAAACTGTGTACCTACACACTACAACTTACAGAGGGCTCGGATGGGAAGTGTCCCTTTCCATCCTTGCAACAAGTCTATACCATACATGTCATCCCCATTTCATAGTTACAGAAACTGAGGCTTCCAAAGATTAGGTCACATCTCTGAGGTCACCGGCCAGGAGAGGGGAGGCACCGGGTCCTGGCTTCACGCTGGACACTCCAGCCACATCACAATGGCCATATACACAAGAACCTCCAGACAGAACTCTTCTCCATCCATGCAGGAATGGAAGTAGCCAGAATCCAGAACTCAAAAGCACTGGTTCCCCTTTGGGGCTCAGCACTACCTGGCTGGGCTCTGCTGATGGGGTGAAATCAGGGGCAGCAGCTGTACCTCTTGGTCGGGGAAGGGGTCAAGGCCGAATCTGCAGACCCTGACTGCAAACACTGCAAGGTGATCCAGGGAGCAAGCTTCCTGCTAAGGCATGGGATGGGAAGGAGTACGTGAAGCCTTCCTGGAGGCATGGAAGTGAGCCTTGGGCACAGTCGGCTACTTTCTTCAGGACCCACTGCATCACGTCGAATTTTTGCACCTCTTAGCAGTACTCTCTGCACTGTCATTTCCTTAAGGGAAGCAGTGCTATCTTGTCTTGGGGAACCTTACCTCCAATAGTGCCGGGCCCGGGACTAGCCTCGGAGCTGGTTCAGTAGAACTTGGCAGGAGAGAGGACGAAGAGTGATCCATGTGAAGGAAAATCGCAGAATCAGTGAAGAGGGAAGAACCCGATGGAAGAGAGAGTGTGTGAGCCTCGCAGAAGATGAGAAAACCGGCAGGGACCAAGGGGAAAAGTAAGCAAGGGCTTGCAGGTGACAAGAGAGAGCTGGCTGTGGTGGCTCAGAGCGAGGCAAGGAGCCCCAGGCCCCGCCCCTGGGCGCCAAGACTGGCAAATCCCAGAAAGGGAAGTGGAGGGGGAAAAAAAACCCAAAAAACCCCAGCCCCGAAATAACAAATACCAAACAGCAGGCCCCCCACTGCGGAGGCAGGAGGCTAGAGGCCCAGCAGGCAGGTATCAAGGATTCGTAAACACGGCACTTACAGAAGGGAAAATAAAAGGCGGGCACGGGGTGGATGGGCCTCCAGCAGCGAGGCTGGGCGGGAAGGGCCCGGGCCTCCAGGCTGGCCGCCCTGACTGCGCTGCTTCTTTCCACACAGGAAGTCAAGTGTGGAGAAAACAAGGGGGCCAGGGGAGCTGCTCTGGGGTCTGGCTAGCCGCCGCAGCCCCCAGATCTGGCCTTCTGCAAACCCCCGGGGTCACCCCGCCAACAGGGGAAAAGGACCCGACTTCAGGGACCTACGAGGTCTGGCCCGGCCGCCCGACGGCGCAGTGCGGGGCAGCGGGTGGTCCCGGACCCGCTGCGGAGTGACGGACCCCCCCGACGCCCGCAGGGAGGAAGCTGCCTCCCAGGGCGCCCCGCCCGCTGCGCCCACGGTGCCCGCCCTGACCTGGGGCGCCCTGGGGCCCGGGGTCGCAGCGACGGTGCGGAGGCCTGGCCGGGCCGCCTTCAGGGGGCCGCCGCCGCCCCCGCCCCCGCGTCCAGCCCCCGCGTCCTGGGGCTCCCGCGGGGGCTCGCTGCTGTGTGGGTCGCACCAGGGACCTTCCGCGGGCGCAGCCCCCACCCGCGGCCTCGGCCCTCGGCGGCACCTGCGGACGGGGCCCGGCCCCCCGGAAGCCCCCTCGCGGGGCGCAGGGGCGCGGCGCCTCCGCCCGGCCCCGACGTGCGCCCCGAGCCCAGCGCCGGACCGCGGACGCCGGCCAGGCCCGGCCCGGGGCGGAGCGCGCCGCTCGGCGGGGACCGGGGCGCAGGCACCCGTCCGACAGGAAAGTCCACCTGCCGGGCCGCCCGGGCCGGGGGCAGCGGAGCGGGGCGCCTCGCCGCGCTCAGCCCGCGCCGCGGCCCCGGGACGCTCGGGGCGGCCCCGCCCCCTGCGCCCCCTGCGCCCCCTGCGCCCCTCCCGCCCCCTGCGCCCCCCCTGCGCCCCTCCCGCCCCCTGAGCCCCCCCTGCGCCCCCCCTGCGCCCCTCCCGCCCCCTGCGCCCCTGCACCCCGCGCCCACCTCGGGCCGCGCGCTGTACTTGAGGCCGGCGCGGAGGTCCAGGCGGCCGCGCTCGCCCTTGAGGGCGCGGCTGCTCTTCATGGTCCCGGTGGCGGGTCGCGAGTCTCAGCGGCGCGGGCCCCGCGGGCGGCCGCCTGCCATCGCCGTGGGAGCTCGGGGCGCGCTGGGGGCGCAGGGCGCGCGGGAGGCGCGCGGGGGGCGCGGGGGGCGCAGGTGCGCGGGGGGCGCGCAGGGGCGCGGGGGTGCGCTCGGGGGCGCGGGGGGCGCGCAGGAGGCGCTCGGGGGCGCGGGGTGCGCTCGGAGGCGCCGAGGGCGCGGGGTGCGCTCGGGGGCGCGGGGGCAGGGCAGGGTGCGCGCAGGCCGAGCCGAGTTCCGGTCGCAGCCCAGCGTGCGGCGCCGAGGTCCTCTCGCGCTCGCTCTTCCTGTCCCGGGCAGGTAGTTTCAGGGTGTGGCCTCCCCGGGCCCGCCCCGCCCCGCCCCTCGCGGGCCCGCCCTCCCGCCCTCCCGCCCTCCCGCCGCGCGCGGGCCCCGCGCCCCCACCCCACCCCCCAGCCCGGGGACCCGAAGCTGATGGACACGGAGACCCGGCGACCCGCCTGGCGGTGGCCCCTCGCCAACCGCGCCGCCCGCCCGGGTCCTGGGGAGGGACCTAGCAGCCCGCCCTCTCCCTCTCCCGGAGGTGACCCCTTGCGCTGGGAGACCACCGGCTGCCGCCTCCTTGATGCCACCCGGGCTTTCGCTCCCTCCCTCAGGCATCTGCAACCTCTCCCCACCTTGCTACGTGACCGGGTCTCAATTACAACCCTTCCAAACCCAAACAAGAACCACCACCGGCCCTAGACCCGGCCTCCGCCTCCACCGCTGCCCGCCTTCCTCCTCGCGGCCGCCTCTGCCCTCCGCCGGGAGGCCCTGCCTGGGCCGTCCAGCCGCCCCGGGGTGGGTGACCAGGACTCCAGTTGCTCCACCAGGTGCGGTCTTACCTGTTCCCAGCATCCTCACCTGTTTGCCGCGCCCCATACTCTTGATCCCAAGCTCAAATGCTCCCCTTGCCTGGATTCCGTGGTCCTCCTCTCTGGCCCCTGAATGTCAAGGTTCCCAAAGTTGTCTCTTGGGCCTCCCCTTTTTTCCCTACGCTTTCTTTCCAAGTCGTCTAAGGGCTTCAAGTAGGTAAATCTGCTTTCCTAACATTGACATCATGAAGGAGCGCCGCGTCTCCACTGAGAGCTGCTTGGGAACTTCTCCGTTTGTGAGCTACTGGTGTGACACGCTCAACAAATATTACCCAGCACATATTATATGCTCAGCACTGTCCTAGGTGCTGGGAAACAGGAGTAAACAAAAGTAAAAAGTCCTGCTCTGCAAACTTCCTTCCTAGATGTGGCCGCCTTCCACTCTGTCGCCGGGCTGTAGTGGCAGTGGCCTAGCCTCAGAATCCGGGAATTCTCTTGGACTCCCCACCCTCTTACACTTTGCATCTAATTAGTTCCAAATCTGACCAAGTCTTTCTCTCCAGGAGCGGATATGTTTAGCCCTTTTTTTCCTCCCCCTTTAGGAGACCCCTGATTGCAAGCCCTCATACCCAGTTCCTGGATGTGTGTGAGCAGTGACAGGATCTCCTGTGTGCGCCCCCCCCCCAAGCCCCCCTGTACCCGGCAACCAAGTTGCTCTTCCTAAGCCACGGCTTCTGCAAACCCTTCTGGATCCCATCCGACCTCCTTAGTGTGGCTTTCACGGTGTGATCCGTCTTCCTTTGCAACCCTGCCTCCCAGCAGGCCTCTCTGGGCCCTGTCTCTGCAAGCAGACTTTCTGATACGCACCTTTCCTCATGCTCCTTGTGCATGGAAAAGCACTTCTCCTTCACACTCGTCTCTGAGCATTGGGACAAAAGTCACTCACGGGAGTCATGAGTGTGTTGTCATTGTTCACCTAGTGTTTTTAGCTTTCTGCCCTCTGGGCACAGGCTGGGATTGCGCTCCCTCCCCTTTGAAGTTAGGTGTGGTCCTATGGCTAGCTGTGGACAAGGAAATGTTCAATGAGATGGTAAACACCACTTCCAGGTGGGAACATAAGGAAGTGACACACAGGGGCGCCTCAGAGGCCCCGTGGGCTTGCCTTGGGCTCAGGTCATGATTCCTGAGTCCCGGGAGCAAGCCCCGCATCGCATCGGCCCCCTGCTCAGCAAGGAGTCTGCTTCTTCCTCTGCTTCTGCCCCTCTCCCCACTCATGCTCTCTCTCAAATAAATAAATAAAATCTTTAAAAAAAAAAAGGAAGTAATACACCATCCCATGCCCTCTTCCCCAATGAAGTACATGTTGAGACAAAACCTCCCGTCACCCTGTGATCCAAAGTGGCTGCAGTGAGCGGAGACTCTTGCTAATGGCCATGGGCTGTAGAGCATGAATGAGAAGCAAACTTTGGGGATGTTAAGCCTTTGAGAGCAGAGGGTTGGGTCTGTATCGCGGCCAACCTAGCCCATCCTGCTCTATTACCTCCTCCATGAGATCTTTCCTTCTCTCTAAAGCAGAACTAGGTCTGCTTGTGCTTTTTTTTTTTTTTTTTTTTTTTTTTGCTTGTGCTATTATCATGGAATGTATCACCTTTTCTTTGCATCCCTGTCAGGGTCTCACTCACCTGAGTGTCAGAGCACACTAGCACAGTAACTCGTGTCAATTTAATAAATGGAAAAAGAAGCCTGCCACTGTGCAGAGAAGAGCATTCCAAAGCTAACCAGGAGATATCAAAAATAACTTTCTGCATATTGGGACAAAGTCACCTCCAGTCCTTTGTAGGCACTACGGTTGCCAAGGACGCAACAGCCTCGAGTTAGTGCCGGTGATTGAAAGTCAGCCAGACCCGAGGTACCGTGAGTGAGATGGCACACGTGGCACTAAAACCTGTTGTGCTGCTGTAAAAGGAGTGTCTTGTGTCATCTCCCAGGCTCCTAGAGCATCGTCTCTTATCTCATGGAGCTAACACATGCCTTGCCCACGGAAGGCCCTCGGTGCTATTGAACGCAGTGCGTACGCAGTGCTTTTTCCAGGTTCAGAGGAAGTGATGCAGCCCAGGACCCTTCTCTACGGTCACTGAGTCGTGTCCACGTACATTAAACGGACTCAGTTTACTCCTCATAAAACTCTATCATGTGAGATAAACGCTAACGCTTTTATTCCTAGACTGTACGCGAAGAAAGCCAACAGCAGGCAGCCCGAAGGATGTAGCCAGGTTCTCACGCTCATAAGGGGCAAATCCAGACTCAAACCCAGATTTCGGTTTGAGGCCCGGGTCATTTGCTGCGACGATCAACTCTCAGAGCCACCGTCATCCCCCTGCCGGCCCCGAACCCTCCCGCCAAAGCTGCCACCATGGCCTGGGCCTGCCCCACGCTGCCCCCGGGACTCTGCTGGGCAAGTCAGGCCTGTGGCCCTGGGACCCCCGCCCAGGCCTCTCCGATGAGCCCAGTGTCCTTGGGCCAGAGCCACTCAAAGCTTGTACCAGCGCGACCTGACCACAGGCCAAGACGCTGGCTTCCACGGGGGATAACGTGGGGGAGGGAGAGGGGCCACCAGGTAGACTCAGCCCCGGTTTGGCCCCTGGGGGTGCGAACAGGCTGCACCCCCCCCCCCGCTGAAGTGGACTGTGTAGGCCGGCCACCAGGCCCCCTAAGGACAAGCATGGACGTGGGGATGTCGGAAGGTGGAGCAGGCGCGCGGGTCCCACAGCCATCACCTGCGGGCGTGCTTGCACCTGCCGGATGGCAGGTACCTACAGGTCCTGGCGCCACCTTTGCTTCGGGGCCGCTGCGGCTGAGGCTCACCAGGGGAGAAGGTGCGAGAGCTGGTCCGTGGCCCGACATGGTCTTGCCTTCGCCCTGCGTGACCGCTTCACCCACCCCGTCTCCTTCTCCCGCGGGCACCCCGATTCAGCGGTCGAAGCGCCCGGTGGACCCTCCTCCAGGCACCCCGATCTCTTCTTCCCCAGTCCTCCCGGACACTGACACGCCCCTCAGCCACAGCTCGTCCTGGCCCGAGCTCTTCGGGTGTCCTTGCAGGAAGGGGTGAGCGAGGCCGGCCCACGAAGCTGGGCGCTGTCGGTAGATCAGGCCCTTGCTCGGGCTTCTGCTCTTGGGTTTCTGCATATACTATTTAAGAATACAAGTGTGGGCAGCCCGGGTGGCGCAGCGGTTTAGCGCCGCCTTCAGCCCAGGGCATGACCCTGGAGACCCGGATCGAGTCCCGCATCAGGCTCCCTGCATGGAGTCTGCTTCTCCCTCTGCCTGTGTCTCTGCCTCTCTCTCTCTCTCTCTCTCTCTCCCTCCGTCCGTCATGAATAAATAAATAAATAAATAAATAAATAAATAAATAATCCTTAAAAAAAAGCTACAAGTGGTTTTGTGGGTTTTTTTTTTTTAAAGATTATTTATTTATTTATTGAGACACAGAGAGAGGCAGAGACACAGGCAGAGGGAGAAGCAGGTTCCATGCAGGGAGCCCAACGTGGGACTCAATCCCGGGTCTCCAGGATCAGGCCCTGGACTGCAGGCGGCATTAAATCGCTGCGCCACTGGGGCTGCCCCCCCAAAAAAATCTTTTTTTTTAAATTTTATTTATTTATGATAGTCAGAGAGAGAGAGAGAGAGAGAGGGAGGCAGAGGGAGAAGCAGGCTCCATGCACCGGGAGCCCGATGTGGGATTTGATCCCGGGTCTCCAGGATCACGCCCTGGGCCAAAGGCAGGCGCTAAACCGCTGCGCCACCCAGGGATCCCCCCAAAAAAATCTTTAAAAAAAAAGAATACAAGTGGTTTTGTGTTTTTTTTTTTTAAAAAGATTTTATTTGTTTATTTGACAGAGAGAGAGAGTGAGTGAGCATGAGCAGGGGCGGCAGGCAGAGGGAGGGGGAGAAGCAGGCTCCCTGCTGAGCAAGGAGCCAGATGTGAGGCTCAACCCCTGGACTCCGGGGTCGTGACCTGAGCCATGGCAGATGCTTAACCCACTGAGCCACCCAGGCACCCCAAGAATAAGAATATGTACTTCAGGGGCACCTGGGTGGCTCAGCAGTTGGGCGTCTGCCTTTGGCCCAGGGCATGATCCTGGGGTCCTGGGATCAAGTCCCACATCTGGCTCCCTAGATGGAGCCTGCTTCTCCCTCTGCCTGTGTCTCTGCCTCTCTCTATGTG